TGATACGCGTCGGTCGGAAATATGCCTAAAGACTTCCACTACAAATTGCCGTGGTGATGTAGGAATGTTTCCTTATATACTTCCTTCGAGTTATTGTGATGCAATACAAGATCTGTGGATTTTTGTCTACAGTGCCTGACCTGACCTGAATCGAAGTGGCTGGTGAGCCTAAAAAGTCGGGGTTCGCAGAAACAAGTTGGTTTCTCCGAAAATTCGTCCAGCACTTTTTCTAACTTTCACTCCATAAGGCGGAATTTCGCAGATGGGACATCAAATATCTTTTGCTAATCTTTTAAAGCATCATGCACGGTTAGAATATCTCGAGAACCTTGATGCGAACGTTTGCGCAGAATATATGCTTGCGGTCCCAGCTATTCCAACGATTGGCGATCAAACTAAACTGGACGATTGACATCACTATGACTACGGTACGCGTGCTACCAATCATGTCCAGTTAGTTATTTTTACAAGTGGTACACTTACTGTTGTATGGCATGTTGCGCGATTATGCATTTAATCCTTGCATCTCTGTTGATCCAAGACCAATTTGAGAACCACATTACGTCGCACAATTTCATCTGAATGTACAATTGTGTCAAGGAGTTTTTGGAATATAAACCTTCATCTGTAGCCATCCATATTCGTCTTCGTTCGTGTCGATAACACGAGTGTTTTTCGGTAATATGGTAGAATAAAGCATCACATTTTTCACACCTTAAGAGCGTTTGAATTGTTTTCCTTCCGAAAGTATTCTAAAACAACTCACATTACTGACGACGTCTTTAAATTGGCCGTTGCTTTTTCAATGAAACATCGTTTTTACCTTAACTACCGTGTACGCAGCGGTTTTCACCTAAAGGTTTTGACACTTCTTTGGTTATACTGCTTCAAGGCCATTAGCACTGCGATGCATTGATTCGTTGAAAAAGACACCGTGCGCGCCACGCGAAGTTATCCAAAGACGCTTTAGTTGCTTTAAGCATGAGCGTCCCGATCGACATACTTGGCTCTGACACTGTATGTTCGATAGGAAACCTATTCTAATAATCCACTTCATTAGAGGAAATTATTACCTTCATATATGGGACTGTTTATTCGGGTGATACCCGTTCGATTATTTCTATGTATACAATTTCCATTTTTAACATTACTATCTTAGTCCATCCGCGGTAGTTATTGTTAAATGCTTAAAATGCACCCACTCGGGTATATAAAGCCTTTATTGACTTGACTTAGTATTAGCTTTCGAGCGCAATAAAATGTGAAAATGTCTTACAATCCCCGTTTCGTGTGGATCACCACGGCTGCTGACACCAGGTGTTGGCATAACAAAGGTGTTTCCTCTCATCATTCTGTTCACCTTATTGTATTGTGTAGCCGTACACTACCTACTTCATACTGACACAAACAGTTCAGTTTAGCGACTGAGAACTAACCCAGATACCAAATGGCAATCAATCTACTGGAACTAACCCAACCGCTTATGCGGTAGGAATTGACAATCGTGAGGCAGAACGCGAAGATCAATGGCTATGATTTATTCGGTCGATGAGCTCCTCATTTAACAACCAGTGCAATTTTCTACCATCAATCTCTAGTATGGACCACTTGGTTGTCCGGTTTAATTAATTACGAACATTGTAATTCGTCCAGTTTAGATCATCCACTTTTACACACACGCCGAGTTTCGATGCATCCCGTTTGTCCGTGGCTATTATACTAAGCGTATATGCAGCTAGCAGATAAAAGCACAAACACTTTAAAGAGACCAAAATGGAGTGTTGGAAATAGACAATGTCTATTGTTTAGATGTCAACAAGTAAAAGCACTAAACTACGTTTAGAGCACCATCAATCGGTGATTGGTCGTTTTAGGACGATTAATTTAAATACTGTTCTAGGCAGTCAATTGAAACTTGCGCATCAACCCGGTCTGATTTTTCGGGTGGATTCTTGTTGGCTATATAATTTCTCAGCAGGTGTTCATTTTGAATTTTCACCCGAGACAATCCGTCAAACAGTGTGTCTGGTCGATGGGCTCCAAACAACTTATATTACCCATTGTAAATGGTACACATGCAGGAGAGAACCCGGTGATGCACAATCGTGCTACAAGTGAAGTAAAAAAATGCAACTTCATTTGGATTCTTCAGTTGTCCACAGGAGTTCAAGTGGTCCATCTGCTGTTAACTGAAATCTTTTGAATGCTGAACCGAGTGGCATCCCTGGCAACTCTATGAACATGTTACTTAAAAAATGTCACTTAAATAAATAAATAAAATAAAATAAAATAAAAAATCAAGAAATAAAAATAAACAAATAAATAAATGGTGTGTTTCTCCACTTCACGGAAATCTGTTTCTATATGCGTTCAGATGCAGTTTATAACAGCTATTTATGCTCTCGTACCAGTATAAGTAAATATGTTCGAGAACGGAGGATGTAGGAAGAATATAAATGCGTTTGGATTTTTTTATGGATCTTGTACTTCTTATTTAGGCTCAATGGACTTCTCCGGCGTTTTCAAGTGCTCATGTTCTGTTCGTTGCTTTCACTTATCTACCTGAATTTAACCGGAAAAGAAAAATTTTGTATATGATGATCACCCCAGATATCAGTGGCAGAACATTATTACAAACTCTTTTATGGGTTATTGAGTGGGTTTAGGCATGGTTTGGCATCCATCTCACAGTAAAGAGGTCCACCTACTACAACATCTAACGCCGTCACTACATGGCGATGAGTAACATTGGACACTAAGGGCATACAACAATTGGAGTGCAAGCAACTTCGAATATCCGGACGTAGCGCTGAACGTCTTCTTGTTCAACCGTGTTATCCGTCAGTGTTGCATCTTGACTTGCTGAGTTTAGCCCAAGTATTGCGGGTTGAACAGGATAGATACAGTCCTGACATCCGGCGTTTCACTCCGTTGATGTGATGACAAAGTTGTATTTCGTTTACTTACGGTTCTAATTCTCTTTACACCCAAATGTAATCTTTTCAAACTAACTACATGCAAAAAATTACTCATTTTTTGTGGGAACATCTTTGTGCTTGGTTTTGCTGCTCTTCAAAATGGCGCCGAAATGCAGTTCCTGGTCTCATCGATCGTTATGCGAGGCACAGGAATTGTGCCGTTTTCAACGCTGATTCCTTTTTGTGTCTACATCACTGCTCTTTTCTATGAAACTGAATGTTGAAGTTTAACTATCACCAAGGTCTGGCATATATATGCCTTCGATTGGAGCCATAAACTATTGCTACTAACTGTTTGATTACTAGCCACAGTCAACTTTTTCGTAATCTGTTTGTTTTGCCTCCTCAGTTGTTACCCTCTGTGTAGCCCTGTCTTTCAACCATTCCTCTTTCATCCCACAACTTTCGCATTCTTTAGCCTTTTTCACTCCCTGTTTTCCTCTGGTGTTCCAACTTTTTCCATGTTGACATAAAAATAGGGAGTTTGAGATTTTGCGCTCCAACTCATGTTTTTGGGTCTCATAAGTCAGTCCTCTCGTTTTCTTGACAGTCTTCACTACGTAGCACTTATTTGCCCTCGGTTCCCTTCACTCGCTAGACTTAGGTAGACTACTTTTGCCTGTCAAGTATCACCTTTACTTGAAATCACTAGTATATGAGCTGTTGGCCTTCAGTTGTACAAGCAATTTCGTATTTGCTTTCGGCTTGTTTGATTGCTTTCCTCTTGTTTGTGTCTCCGAAAACACTCTGTTCCTACTGAAGCGTTCATTTAAGGCACAAGTGTAAGTGGATTACGGCACGCCATCTCAATCAGGAATTCAGCTATGTTGACTGGAAAACCCCATCTGTCTATATCGTAATCATATGTGAACTTTCCTTTTTGGGCTTGTGACTCTAAGTCGATGGCTTGTCGTGAATGGTTCGATCAGTTACTCTTTTCTCTTCCCATATTCGATTGTGTCGAATATTTGCAATGTTAACTTATTACTAAGAGTGTCTGAACAAACGCGTTACAAATTCTTTCTGCCGTAAGAGTTACTTTTCGCCTTCCATTCTAATCCTGGTGGACTGTGTCTTGTTGTCGTGTTTCTCAATGGCGCCAAAAACAAACGGTCGTTTTAGTTTTGGTATAGACGACACGGCTTTTTATTTGCTCCACTGGTGTCCTTACGTACGTCGGCATTGATTACGATTTTGGCTTACGCAGACAACATCGAGCTGATACACAGTAATTGCTACTTAAATTAACTTTCCCCGCTGCTGAGTGGTTGTTTTTACCCATTAACACGCGTTCACCCACCCGTTCGTTGTATTTTCTTGCCATTTGTTACTGACGTCATATGCCGTCATGTGGCCGACGCACTTCCATTTGATCGATACTCGACATCCATTGCCCGTTTTTGTTAACCGCCCTTGTCATTATCTGGTATCTTTTCATCTGAGACACAGAACCACGCATGTGAAATTGGAACTACTGATGCGCACAACTTCTGATTCCTTTTAAACCTCTGTTCCTTCTGCCAAACTGCATTGGAGCATATGAGCTTTCTTGTTTCTCGACACATATAAGTTTTGTTCTCCTTAATTGCCCCATACTTTTTCTTCCTTTCAAGCGTTTGTCGATTCATATTCAGAGTTTGGATCTTCCTGGATTTATCTTGCCCGATTCCTAAACGTTCGTATTACTCCTGTTCCCTCGTTTAATCTCATGTTAGAAGTTTGGATGAATCGTCTTTACACCATGGGTTTGTGTTTCATACCTACACTTGCTTCTTACGGCATCAAACTAACGGATCATGCTTTATGTGAAGCGCACGCTCTCATAAGATAACCGTGATCTATGGATCCCATCACATTTCCTCGCCCCGGATTATGTGATCCTAGTAACACATGACGATACCATCCAATTCAGCAGTCATCTGTTTACGGTTTATCATTTTCACATGTTTTCTAGTTGTGATTTGATAATTCATTTCGGTTCTTTCAGCTATGTGTTCATATGTGCTTCTACTTTTACTGCAGATGTGTCCCCACAACAAACAGAAAGAGGGACATCAAGCTCCCCCTCAAACCCACCGGTATCTTGTAAGTCATCGACAAATAGCGGCAAATCCACTCCTTCGACGGCTGCGATGTATTCCTCCGACACGGACGAATTAGAGTTGGAAGCCACAGCTCATGTCAAGGTAAATGACGCCGAAATGCAGTCAATGAGCACTACCATGCCAGTCGTGCCTAGCGAGAAGGATGGCGATCGTGATGGTACTGTCATATCCGGTTCCGTCGGGTCCCCATATGCTCTACATAGTCCCGAAACGATGGCTGCCACAAGCGGTACGAACCACTCCGAGACTGAAGCACCGTCTGCTAGCATTATCTCTGATGACAGTACTAACTTACATAGTGTGATCGTTGGGTCTAATGATATGCTGCCTACAATAGAACCGCCAGTACCTATGATTGGTTTCCTTTCTTCGGACGATCAAACTGTGGGATCCTCTCCCGAGTCTCTGAATACCACCTTACCCCATTCTAGTCATACTTCACTGTTCCATGAAGTCAGCCAGAACTTGGAGTCATTGAACTCCCACACGATCGACGAATCACCCAAATTTGACGTTGCCGTCTCACCGAATTCCCCAGTAAGTCATGCGTTACAGCATGCTCCAGTATCAGGGCGTACTGATAGTCGATCTTCTAAACGGAAACTCGATGATTCTGACACCAGGAGTTTTTCATCAGAGTCCCCGAAAAGGGTGGACTATATCCCCCTATTGTCATTGCATCCACCGCCTACCGATTCAGATGAGCGGACTGTCTCAAGTGACGCTGGTGACCTTGAAACCACCAAGTTGGAACACGGTGAAGAGTTGAGGAAATTAAGCGACCACGAATCGGTTCATGTCAACTTTAGTTGTGTACCAGAGTTATCGGAAGACGTTGTAGAATCGGTCACAATTGGTGACGCTTCAGGAGACTCGGATAAAAAGCAGCTTGTGTCGTCTGAAGACTTCCCCCTAGAATTTGCCTCAATTGCGAATCCGGTGGATGCGACCGATCAGCCAGATATCACATGTGTCGGGTTGCAATCTGGAAATGAAATCATAGAAGATCATTCTGACATTCCATCACGCCCAACGAGCCCCAACAAGGAACCCGGAGACCAAACTGTTGAAGCTTTTCACGATTCCTCCCATGAAAAGCTGACCGACGACCACAGTCTGCCGTCGAGTCGGACATCACCGGTTTATAAAAGGCATATCAACGAGGCCGGATCTCAACAACCAAGCACTCCAGAGTTGCTCTCTTTCGATCTCTACCCACGCAGGGAGGTCGCTGTCTCGTTGTCCCCATGCATCGATCTTGATTATGGGTATTCCAGTCAGATTACCTCTGACATACCAGAATTGTTTTCCAGTCACACGTCCACCATTAGCCCTGATCATTCGACACACAAGCGTCGCCCTCAACAAAAACGTAAGCACCTAGTAAGCAAGAGACGAACAACGTCGGATCAAATACCCACCACTGTGATCACCAGTTCTCCTTTTGTTTGCCTGCCTACTTTGAACTCGGAGGAATTGAGACTGCTCACTCTTGCCCATGATCGAACCTTGACAGTGGCTTTGGAATCGACGTCATTACCGTACACAGCTGCATATGAGCTAACCTCGTAAGCACTACTAGCCATGGTTTGTCCGTTTTCAGGTGTTTTTGTTGTTGCTCAGATGCTGTCCTTCGCTTTCCTCGGTAAGCTTAAACTAGTCTCTAAACTGCCTGCATCGGACTGACATCAACTTCTGTGGCACTGATGTTGATGTGTGCATCGAGGATAATTGACGTATTTCCGCATACCTGACGTTTGGTCATGCAAAGTCTGACGGTGCACTATGCCACAGTGTGTTGGAGGCTCACTTCTCATCCTTCCGACTTTTAGGACCTTTAAGGACCATACGTAGAGGCGAGGTGCACATACCTGTTGACTCTATAAACCTGAAGAAATGGCTCTGTTATGGGACCAGATCCTACACATCCACTGCAATGTGTTTTTTATCCATGTATTACGCGCCCGAGTGAGTAGCAAGCTACTAACGATCTTAGCTGAGTCAGTTAAGTTTGTCTCTTGTGATATACGTTCATGAGGTTCTGCCGTTCGGTTTCGTGTAAGTCTGCTCCGAAACAACTATATTTTCCAGCCATATGCCTCTCGTGCTCATACTGAAAATCCTGCCAGTTTTTGTGCGACAGCGGTTGTTCTCAGTGACATTGGTGTTACCATTCACAAGGGCCTGGTCAGTGCTTGTCGGCTTTATTCTTCAGTATTCGCGTGTGCACTTATTGTTTCCTTATTCTTGCTTACCGGAATCCGTGCAGTCTAACTGACTTATCCCCCATTTAAGCAAGTACCTATTTACAGGACTCAGTTACTTTCCTTCTTTTGAAAGACATTTTCAATTCAGTTGATAAAACTTTAGTTGACGGTAAACAGATCTCTACTTACTAACTTGCATATGGGTAGTTCTATTCCCATAATCACCAATACTGGCAACTGCGCTTTATTCCGGCGATTGGCTGCAATCATCACCTTTGTACACGTTAGCTCATCATCATTAAACACGTTAGCTAGAGGTGTAAAACACCTCAGCTACTGTGCCGCAATACATAAAAGAAAAAAACAATATATACAACAGTTGTACGCCAGTTGAGCTACCAGCAATGGCTGGGCATCATTCCGGACAGCTAAAAGCCGGCTACTAGGTATCAAAAATTTATGTAAACTTATGCTACGGACTGAGATCATGCTTGGAGGGGAAGGCTTAAAGGGATGGGGAGGGACAATGAAACTCACAGCAGGAACACCACTGAGGTGGACTCCTAGCCAGGTCAGCAAGTGTATCTAGCCAAACGTGTTCATCGTCTCTCGGACCCCAACCAAGGAGCCGTGACGCTACAACCGATGCCAGCTTCGAAGTGAGGGTCATCATTCCTCTCGACCAAGTCATCGCTTGGCCACCCCTCCTCTTCTTCCAGCCACATCCCCGGTGAGCAAACAACGCACGTCGTGAAAGTTGGTTGGCTGGCATGCGTAACATGTGGCCGAGCCATCGGAACATGGTGCGTGAAATAACGATACTGCACGGTTCATTTCCTTTTCCTGTGCCGTAAACAAAGCGTCGAACACGGTGGTTGCTCACTCGTAGTACCCACCAGAGGTGAGCCAAATTGCGAAGATACCGGTGGTCGAACGTAACTATCCTTTTTATGTCCGCTGATCTAAGGGGGGCCAGTTTTCACAACCGTACAGTACGGTCGGATATACGGCTGCATTCTACACTACCCTTGAGAGGAGAGTGATGTCGCGCCGACACCATTAGTGGCGAAGGTTAGCAAAAGCGCCTCGAGATTTTGCTATACGGTTCTTGATCTCATATTCGATCCCAAGGGCGCTTATACAACTTCCAAGGTAGTTAAATTTTTGTACGACTTCTGGATGACCCTCACCAAGGGTCAGCGTAGGAGGCGGTCCATGCCATTCTTGGAGAAACGCTTTGCACTTCGAGGGTGTGTGTCAATGCCCGAAGTGGCTGATAGCCAGTGCTAATCTGTCCATTGCAGCTTGGCACGTTTTTGAGCTGTCACAGATTAGGGCAAAATCGTCTGCATAATCCAAGTGAAGAAGTCGTTCTCATGGGAGCAGATCCACACCTGCTACGTCGTGTCCTGTGAACGCGGTGTCCATGACTTCGTTAATAACGATGTTGAGTAGGAAAGGTGACAGCAGACGTCCTTGTCTTACACCACTGGAGACATTGATGGGGGCAACAGTTTGCCGGGAGCCCAGGGAGCATGGCGATCACTGGCCGGTGAGGAATCTAGCTATTCCGGCTGATTAAAGTGCCTTGCAAAGTATTCGGCCCAAACGCTCTAAGCGTTTTGACAAGTTGTGCATGGGATGTCCACTCTCATCACATATATTTTCACTAACACCAAGTCTCCTGCTGCCCGTTTCCCGTATCAAACAGAATAATTTCCGATAATTACCAAGGGCAGCGGCCACTTCTATGTCTGACGCACGATGAGACTACTGGGATAAGCCTTCTCATTTCAGGCTAGCACGGTGTTTTGCCCGGAGTTCTTTGGTAGTCTCATCGTGTTCGCTTTCAGCCAGAATGCGCTGTCGAGCATCGATAACTTCCAGAGACTGCGAAGAGACCCAATGTCCATGTCGGTTTTTAGATTTACCACATGAAGTTTTGACTGCTGCTAGTAGGGTCTGGTGAACATGCGACCAGTGACCTTCAGTTGTCGCCAGTGAACGCTTACTCAACTCGCATGTCGGCGTACTTCGATACGCATTTAAGACATCTGTATTCCACAGTTGCCTGGTGTCTATGTGCTCACAGGATCGTCGGGGGCGACCGCCAAAACGCACCTGCTGATCAGCACATACAAGTGCTTTTCAGTGTCCACACATGTGGTCCTTATCGAGCGGCAGTTTCGAACGCAACCTCTCCAGTGGTAACTGATCGCGGTATGATCGATCTGCGTCTGTGGCTAGTCTGAGGCTGGTGGGCGACATGTCACTCTCCGGCAGGTCCTGTATCTGAAGTTAGTGCTCGCAAAATATAAGCGATTATCTTCACACAAATGGTAACCGCTCACCGTTATCATTACGAGAGCTTACACCATGTTGGCCACCCAGATGCAGCTCATCAGTGGACAATTTTCCAACTTGAGCGTTCAGATCCCCCGTCAGCATAACAGTGTCCGTGCTTTTTCTGTGGCGAAGGATTTCGTTCAATTGACGATAGAAATTCTCTTTTACCGAATCATTGATACAGTTTGTGAGGTCGTAAGCAACGATGGCAAACAGACACCTATTAACCCCGCGCGACTTCGAAGCTTTGAACGAGCCAGTCAGTCGGACAGCACACATGCGGCTGCTGAGTGGGATCCAGTCAACTAGAGCATCTTCAGACCGTAGACTCAAGGCATTATCAACAGGCTTGACCGCTACTCGAAACTGTATGGTCTCAGGATAGGCGCAATGAGAAAGTGCTGCTGGTGTCACCTGAAGGGGATCGCAAAGCGAGGACAGCTCAAATCCTGCACGCGAGTTTCCGATAAGCAGCAGACATCGATCGAGGGGGTCTCTAATGTTCGGGCAATTGATGCCTATTGACCGACCCGCAACAATGTGCATTGGGGCATGCTAATTTGAAGGAGGATCGGGGGCTCCAAGTAGAAGCTGATGAACCGGGTTTGATGGTTTGGTTGAACATGGGCTTATCAATAGGGCATGAGTGACACTCTGTGTTTACGTATGCGTTAAAACTAAGAAAATACACGCCTATCAAAGCAAGGTGAGGGAGGGTCAAGAATTGGGGGTAGAAAACGGTGGGATCAAATTGAAGTTGGAACGGGACGATAAGGGTGGAAAAGCACAAGAAGGGGAAAAAGATGACGGGAAGGCTTGAGCAGTAGCATCCAAACCCCTATCCATCCTTCTCAATGCAGTAGATAGGGCGCCGTTAATTATCTTCTGCGGCTGCCAGAGCATCAAACAATGATTTGAAGGAGAAGTCATAGTTGTATTGCGTTGGGAGGTTTTTTGTCACGTTACCCATGCCTAGACAGGAGAACGAATATGGTTCTCAACGAAAGCCTGGTTAAAAGACCTAACCGCAAGACAGCGGATTTGGCAGGGGACTACAAGGAGTCCGTTTTAAGGAATAAGGAGCCATCCTCTTTCTAACCCTCAATCTGGAGGACTAGAAGAGTGAGTTGGTCTGGCCTCTAACGATTGACCAATCTCGTATGAGTGGCTCTGAAGGTGCAAAAATGCACCACACAGCATGGCTCCGTAGATCACTGAGGCACGCAAACCATCGGATCACAGTAAGGTCCAGTCTTATTGCCATGTGATTCGCTGCAATATGACCACATCTACCGCATTATTGGGGACTGTGAGGATAGGGAATCAGATGTTGGACCTGAAAACATCGTTGATTTTCAGAGTCAAGACACCCACATCTAATGAGTTCTCCATACGCCCATAACGAGATGGTCATCGTGCGAGTTTTTTTTGGAATCGGCGCATCGGTTCCCACACGGCTTTTACTACTCCGAGTCATAATCAACATTACTCTACACTTAGGTCAGCACCACAAGTTGTTCTTCTGGAGGACGCTAGTAAACGCAACACTGGTGCTAGTTTTGATCCATGTTCTTTTCGAGCTGAACATGAGATGTAGCACATGGACTCCAGCGTGCATGTTAAGCGTAACCATGAACACCCGATAAGTGGTCAGTGACTTTTTTCCCGCTGGTAATCTAGTGGTTGCTGTCCTCTTCATCCGTGATCCGAAAAACTGAGCAACACTAGCCGGTACACATTGGGCAGGCATGCGCGTAGCACGCATCCTGGAGCCAGAGGAACTACCCTAGTACTCACTTGTGCACTTCGTCAACAGACTCAACCGATATTCTGCGGTCATCATATTTATCGTAGTCATGTTTGAGCTCTTGGATTCGCGGAGGCCAACTTTCACCAGCGTAAAGGAGAGCGCTCTCCTGTGATCTTTAGAACACCATATCCAAGACCAGGGGAAACATCTTTTCGATGCTTAATGCGTCGTAGATTCAGGATTGTGACCACAACTTTCAAATTCATCAACTAATTTTAGCGATCATACACCCATCGTTGCTAATGCGATTGCCACAGTAGGTGAACTGATCAACTACTCTCAGTTTTTCGTCGTCAAGGCTTAAATAGTTTGAGTAAATGGCTGGTGGTTTATCACTTTTAGAGTGCGAAAGATGCGCCAACCTTAAGTTAGGCCTGATACCGGCTTGACATCCGAAAGCGAAAAGAGTGCCTGTACTTCGAAACATTGAACCCCATTCAGTCATTTTATCTAGGTCAAGATAGGATACAGGTTACAATATGTTTGTCCTTCGTCTGCTCTGATCACCGCAGACGCAACACGTGCGAAATACATACGCAGTTGTACAGCCAAGGGTATATATGAATCGTATGTTGCGTAATCAAGACCACGGCGGTAATCTGACTACCAGTTTCCTTTTCTGTTATCTGGAAGATGCCTAGAAACAGGGGGTTGTTGCAGAACCTGGTCCTTTGCGGAGGAACTTTTATTTTATAATCCCAAATAAGCGAGGATTACACTACGTTTGACACGCCAAACACTTCGAAACATATTGTACCCGGACTTTCGCTCATGACGACGTTTCCATTTTGACTCAGTGAGATTACCGGAACATCAACCAACCAGCGTCCAACTATCCAGCCTTTCAAATTTTCTGGCATCGACTGTCTGACTCATTCCCCGTGTCCATCTGCGCACTCTTCTAGGACAATCCCGTCATGGTGCTGGTAGATGATTCGTTTTTTGAGCTACTTTATCCCGAAGGAGCGACCAGTTAGCTAGCCAACACTCCTCACACTCACAAAGTATCGGTAGTTGATGGTTCATTCTTTGAGTTTTCATCCCTTACAAGACAGTTCCCGCCACATTGTCCCTTTTGTATTATGCTTTGTGTCTCCAATCGAATTTCAACGGAATCCAGTGTAGAAAGAGGTGCAACGCCTTACTGAATGATCCCGTTGATTTACTGACCATGCATCTATTCCGTCATTCTTGTACTAGGAGCTAATTGGAGCCCTGATAATGACACTGAGATAAGCAGAGCTCGAAGCGTATTACATGAGTCAATTGAAGGCATGTTCTTGACGTCATCTCTTTTCTGCCCTGGCTTTTTTATCCGTCTTATACGATTGTTCCATTGTTGCTTCACACGTTCTCTTCATTAACCTGAAATCTCAGAACGATATTCAACTCCTTTCTCGTATGTAACCAACTCACTGCTTTTTTCATCGTCCATCATGAACTCCAGCTCGACTGAAGTAACAACCGTCGCTGAATCAATTACCTCATCGCCCACTTCAAAACCAGTGAATGTGGCGTCTCCAGGCTCTCATCGAGACTTGCGTTTACGCTTTACCCGAAGGGGCGATAGTTTGACCGTAGTTCCAACTGTTGATGCACAGCCCAACGGTTCTCCGTCGAAGCACACTGAGGTTCCTAACCAAACTCCTCCATTCACGACTCCGTCTTCTAATTCAGCAGAAGTGAACCCACCTGTAATCCGTTCCGACTTGGATTGGTTCAACTGGAGTTCAGATGTTCTCCTTTCCGCCAAATCTTCTCTGCTTGCTTTTGAAACGGCGTTGCCGGGGTTTAAAAAGTAAATGCTCCCTAGGTGTTTAGCAGGATTTTCTGCAACCTTTAAGCTAGAATGTATACTTTCTTACCGCATGCACTTTGTTCCGCCGACTACTCGTTTGCTTTGAGTACATACAGCGTTTTTATCCCCATTGACTTAATATGTAGGTCTGCGCCCATCGATCCAATCTTGTCGATTGCTTCATGCAAGACGCATGAAAGGACTTGGTGACGAAATCAAACACTGTTATAGTTGTACAGTCATTCGCTGTTTTTGTTTGAGTTCTACGGGCTAATCTCACGTGCGAGCGCGGAAGAATGCCGATGTGAGTGTTTCTAGAAACATATGAGTGTGCACCGTACATCAACCACTAGCGATCATGCTTGTCACGTGCGAACAACTAAAGCGGAAAGCGGCAGGATCAGACTGGTATTTCACAGAACTGTGTGGTTGAAGAATGTGTGCGGGAGTTTCCTACTGGTTGGCGAAGATGGTTTATTTAGGATGTGTCCACACTCGTTATAACATTTTTCGCGTTATTAAAATTTGCCCTTCTCCATGAAGGCAGGCTTTGGGGAACTCATTCAATGATGTCAATCGCTTTGTATTCCAACATATATCTGCCTGCGTAAATTTATGAAAATGCAATGCTTTCGGCGAGAAAGCTGCCTTGCTTGTCTCTGGATACTTGTTTATTTTACGTGGACAATGGGTTGTCGTCGCACAACTGTTGTACAGGATGACTTAGCCGAAGGAAAATGATCTGCTCTATAGGCAGTGCCGGTAGCTCTCTCGAGATAATTAGCGTGCCTCTCATAATTCCATAGGAATACCCTCTATCGGATTAGACCAAACACCCTTGTCAGCACCTGGCACCTGGCGTCCACCCGTTAGCTACTATCATCGCATTTGCGTGACTGAACTTCTAGTATATCTGACAGTGACGAAGGCTTTCGTTCATCGTTGTGATGCAATAGTCACTATGTTCGATCGGTGGGGACGATGGTATGAGCTGTGAAGCCGACCTGCAAAGGCACAGGTATTGATTATGATACCAAGCGCAACCAGCACAGTTAGAATAGTGATTACCATTCAGGTTGTTGTTCCTTATCAAAACTAGAAATCGAATTAGGGGTGAAGAATTCTTTTCGGGTAAAATCTCATCAGACCCATACGTCTACATGGTGCATTAGGTGTGGAAGCGCTGTAAAGAGCTAAATATTTACCCTGAAAGAATTCTTCACCCATAATGTGATTTCTGGTTTTTATTGGGAACTATGAAATGGGAATATTTGGCCTGCTGAATCTCAGCATAACCCGTGGTTCACTCAGATCTAGGTTGTTCCCCAACCAATTTGATTTTGCCTAAATTTGAACACAGACTGGAACCTGTTCACTCTTCTTCTACCCATTTGCTGGATTTAACCACATTTAAATTCTGCCAAAGAATCCGATCCTGTGTTGTGCTACACATATCTACGTTTCCTGAAAGATGGATCCTCACTGCTCTTCACTTGTGGTTCGTTCACTTTCTAAAACTAGTCTGCCCATTTATGGTACAATAACCCTCCAGAGTACGTTCGCAGTGGCTCCTTTTCTACATGTGGTTTTATCTGTTGTAGTCTATCTGTTACTGCATTTCCCTGGAGCGCATCAGTGCTTTTTGTAACCGGAAGTAGGTTTCCTTCGGTCTTTTTCGTTCCAAGATAACGGATTTATGGTGAAACGAGGTAAGACAAGTGCTCTCCTGAGTATTACACTACAGTAGGCTTCCTGATTTACATAACCCACTGCGTGTGTAACACGCGCTCTTTGTTAGCCCCTCTTTTGAGTTTCTCCAAGTTTCCACATGCGTGCTTGCATTCCACATTGTAGGAAATGCTTCATCGCGCCAATCAGTATGCCAATTTCATCACACGTCACGACCAATATGTTTTTTCCCTTTGTATTTCACTTCAGACATCCATCCCAGTATGTCTCCGCAGGAATCGAAACCGTGGCCACTGCACTCGATTCCGTTGGGAAGCAGTTGAAGACTGGAGGCATAACCACCAGACCCCAGTTCGTGCATCACATCCTCTCCGTATTAGCCGACATCGGCATGCGAAATGCAATCAATACCATACAGTATCAGGCTGCTCAAAGCGTCTACCTCGGTATAGGCCGAAGTTTACACACAAACTTGTGCAGTTCCTCGCCTCTCAAGCCAGTATCGGACTGCGTGAGTTTTAGTTGCCATTTCTCAGAAAGTTTTCGCCCGCCTGTACCGAAACGAACCATTTCCATCCGCTGTTTTGATGGTAATGTGCATTCTAATGCAAGTATCCATAATTGGAAATCCATAGCCCGACGCACAACACCTGTTTGTCACGCGCTATCAATGAGGCACTTTTTCTAATCGTGGGTTTACATTTCGTTACTGGGATACCACTGTCAGACATTCCTAAGTCATCCATCTTTCAGATGGAGCTGCAAACAATGACGTCAAACCCACACTACATGCTGTGAGTAGGTGGCTGAAACCTTGCTTCCCTGAAAACCATTTGCTTTGTGCGTGAAAACTGTGACTCTTGTGTGAAGGTTTCCTGTTCAGATCAATTTGCTGCACTGAAATGCAGTAAAAGTTTTCACCTTAACTCCAGTCTGTAAAACATTATTAATGAAAATACAAACGTGATAATGATTCGAAGTGAATAGATGAGAAAAAAGCACGTAACTCCCCATGAAGGAATCCGGATGTGTCATTTATTTCGTAGCCGCGTCATATCCGATACGGTTTCGATCCAATGAAGTACTCGGTTCCGAAGACTACAACCAGCAAAACGACCCGCACTATCTTTCGTATTTTTCTCCATTTCTTTTACCTCATTTACTGGTCACTTTGAGATTTCGTCCAAAGAATAAACTGGCAGTCGACATATGCTCACCTACACCTGTAAGGGGAACCTGACGTAGCTAACACTGACTTTGAAATCACCACGAACCTAACTAGTATTCGCAGTGCCCTCTTCTGTGACACAGCCAACAGAGATTATGCTCGCCCTTCGCTTCCTGTTACAGTTACAAATATTGACACCATCTTCTACGTTTCGGACCATACATTCCGTGATAAATATATCGATTAGTGTGGTATAACACGTTATTCCTCCTGCCTTGCCTTCTCCTCGGTATTGCCGGATAACGCAAACATTGAGCTTGCTATCTTTGCAGCAAACGTCAATCGATTAATTTGCTTTGCAGTGGCAAGTGCGACAATTCAGTTTACATTCACTTTAGTCCGGATTTCTATTTCTCAATACAACCCTTAGTTTCCCACGTTATGGATTGCATACTGTCCTCTCAGCCGCCATCACCATGATAGCTAATCAACTGTGGACGTTTATATCCTGGGGAGTCGTCCAATGCATATTTTTTCAGCGCTGCTTAGGGTTACTTTATTAGTCCAATCGCATATAAGCGATAAGACATTGTGAGGCAGCTGCATTTCACGTTGCATGTGGAAAGTCGCGGGATTTGAAGCGCGTTCTGCAACTGTTCTACCTCATTACCGCAATTATATGTATAGTGAGCGATGGGCTATGGTGAAAGGCCAAACCGCTTTTTGTCATGAATAGATATGAGTCTACCGTTTCCTTCTCATCAGCTGTTTCTTACGAAAGTACGTATCGCACATACTGGTCATGACCGGCAGAGTTAACTTATAAACTTGGACAATTGATTGCTGCTGTAAGAAAACTTGTGACTACGATTCCGACAGCGGGCTTGACTCCTACGCATTATTTTGCGCTCACCTATCGTATCCGCCGTCTACGGATGCATTTATTCTCAGGCGGCTATGGAAGAGCTCAGGAAGTGTTTGTAAATGGTCTCTAACAGTTGCCATACTTTACCAACTTTATGTGACGCAAATACACCGTGCAACAGAATATGCGATCCGGATTCCCGTTTTATCAAAAGTGTATTTAATTCCACCTCTTAAATGCACTGGAGAGGCTGTTCACTCTGGTAGAACATTTAGGATCTTGTACCCTACTTCAGGGTTCACAAGATTTTATGAAGATTAAATGAGCGGTAAAACTACTCTTCAGTGCGCCACTACCACTCGAATTCGTACCCCTGATGCAGAGAAAACCGTTTTTCTTCGGCTTTTGTCAATCAATTACACGAATCTCATGCCCTTATATTGCATATATTCATACTGCCCAGGCAAAAGCGTAATTACTTTTGCACAAATTTAATAATGCCGCTGCAGACACGATTTCTCAAATCGCGAAAGATACATATTGTTAGTAGTGCCAAGGACACCAACAAAGGTTTCTCGCCTCATACCCACACACACAGAAGTATATATATATATATATATATATATATATATATATATATATATATATATATATATATCGCGGCATTCGGTGAAACTCGGCCCACTGAGCAAGGTAAGTTGCATGAAGCAGATGCTGGCTACACATTCTACTGGGTGGACAACGCCGCCTCAGCACCACGTGATCATGGGGTCGGATTTGCAATATCCGATCGCCTGAATGGCCAGCTGGTGGGTGAACCAACAGGCATCAGCGCGCGACTGATGACTGTTCGCCTACGACTCGGAAGAGGTAAGTTTGCCACTCTTATAAGTATGTACGGTCCGACCATGTGTTACCCTGATGACACGCGTGATCAATTCTCTACTCAGCTATCCTCCGTGATACGGTCTGTGCTGAGGTCCAACCGACTTTTCTGCTGGGTGATTTCAACGCGCACGTTTGGCGTGATGCATCGATGTGGACAGATGTTCTCGGTTCGCATGGCATTGGTTCAGTGAATGCGAACAGTGGCAGGCTGCTCTCACTGTGTGCCACTCACGGTCTGAGGATCATGAACACTCGGTTTGCACTGATTGCAAGTGATATAGCAACTTGGACGCACCCACGGAGTGGTCACGCTCACCTGCTTGACTATGTCATCGTACGTCAGCGTGATATGCGTGAAGTGCGCATGACACGTGTGCTGCGTGGAGCTGAGTGTGGCACTGATCACAAATTGGTGCAGACCAAACTGTACATATATTTTCGTAAATCCATCTATTGCACACCCGCCGTGTATAGGCGTAAATTTAACCTTCCCTTCCTCGGTATTCTGGAGAAGGCGATGGCTGCACGCCTGTGTGGTGATGTGGACTGCATAGCCACAGTGGGCGACCTGTAGCACTACATTCGCGACCAGGTGACAGTTGCTGCCGAGGAGACCATCGGGCGCGCAAACTGTAGGCGGCTTGATTGGTTTGATGGGAACAATGCGACGATTGGCGCATAGGTGTGTGAGAAGAATGCAGCATTTACTGCGTATGTGCAGATCACAGTGACTTGGGGGAGAAGAATCAGTTTGGCAATATTCGACGGCGACTGACCCGAGAGCTCCGTCGCGTTAAAAATGCATGGTGGACGGAGAAGGCGAATCAGATGTAATGCTACGCCGAACGCCGGTAATACAAGGAATTCTTTGACTCCTTAAAAGTGGTGTATGGACCGAAATTGGAGCCGCTGAGGACGCTGATCGATGGTAGTTCAGGCGCTACCTGCACACAGACTGCAGACATAATGCAGATCTGGCGAAAACACTTTGACTGTCTCTTGAACAATCGTTCAGAGATCGACTGGCCTACATTGAACGGCCTGAAGCAGCACGACGTGAAGGCGAATCTTGCGGACACGCCGACACTGGATGAGACGCAGAGAGCACTTGCTCAGCTGCGAAACGGCAAGTGTGCCGGGGCCGAAGGGATCCCGCCTGAAGTATTGAAAGAAGGCGGACCCGCGTTGATCACTGCGCTGCACCACTTGGTGCAACTCTTATGGATTGAGGAGGAGGTGCCTGCTGAGCTGAAGGATGCCCTTGTGCTACTACCACTGTCCAAGGGCAAAGAGAGCAAGCAATGTTGCACGAATTATCGAGGCATCAACTTGCTGAGTTGTATGGGCAAGATGATTGCCCGAATCCTGCTCATCCGCCTCGTCAGTCAGGTTGTGGAACCTAACTTGGAGGAAGAGCAATGTGGATTCCGCTCGGGTCGCAGTACTGTAGATATGTTGTTTGCGGCTCGTCAGTTGCAGGAGAAGTGTAGAAGAATGACACCAGCCTTTGTACTCGCTTTTTATTGATTTCACCAAGGCATTTGATACGGTGAACCGCGAAGCATTATAGTTGGTGTTGGCTAAGTATGGTTGCCGTCGTAAGTTTGTAAGTTGAATTGAATGTCTTCACAGTGATATGCTAGCGAGGGTGCAGCTGAGTGGAGAGACGTCCGATGACTTTGCAGTTGTCTCTGGTGTGAAGCAAGGCTGTATCTTAGCTCCTGCATTGTTTAATATATATATACATATATATATATATCTTCATGCCATGATGTTTTGTACTTTTGAATCGACTTGTGCTTACGGTATTCGTGTGGAGCACCATATTGATGGTGGTTTGCTGAACATCCGTCGTTTCGGTGCGAGAACTCTAGTCTGTGAGACAACTATCAATATGTTGCTGTTTGCTGACGACTTTGCGTTGTTTGCACACAGCGCGGATGAGTTGCAGCACATGACTAGTGCTCTGGCTTCCACAGCGGCCAAAGTAGGGCATACCATCAACACAAGCAAAACTGTCTGTCTCTTTCAACCTTCACCGGAGCTGCAATCTTCAATATTGCCGGGAATCAGCGTTGGTGCTGTTGTATTGGAAACCACCTCCCGCTTCTGGCACCTTGGGAGTGTGATGTCGACTGATCAACCGCTACACACTGAGCTGCGTATTCGCGTGTCGAAGGCAGCGGCGGCATTCAGGAAGCTAGACTATCGAATGTGGAACAACCATCAGCTTACGACTGTCACCAAGCTGATGGTGTACAAATCTATGGTGCTGTCCGTTCTTCTATACGGCAGTGAAACGTGGACGATGTACCGGCGGGATGCGCGATATCTCGAGCGGTTCCATTAGCAGTGTTTGCGACGGATTTTGCGCATCGGTTGGGGCGACAGAATTGCAGACACAGAAGTGTCTCGTCGAAGTGGTATGTATGCAGTGGACTGCATACTTTTGCTGATACACTTGAGTTGGCTCGGTCATGTGTGGCGTATGGATTCAACGCGGATACCGAAACAACTCTTATACGGTCAGCTGAGTATTGAGAAGCGGCATGTGGTGGAACCAAAGTCCCGTTACCAGGACATAATCAAAGTGAGAGTTTCACGTTCTAATCTTGATTGCAGGTCATGGTAATCGAAGGCGGTTGATCGGCGTGCATGGCGTGATCTAATCACGAAGGCAGTTGCCGAAGTGCGGGAGAAAGATCTCATACGTGCAGAGAAGAAGCAGCAAGTGCGGAAGCGGCAAGCACCGATGGGTTGTACTCCATCGAAATCGAGCGCATGGTGCTGTAGCACATGCGGTCGCGAGTGCCTGAGTCATGCGGGAGTAGTGAGCCATGAGCGAGGCCACTCGGGACCACTACCGAAGCGACAACGGGTCCTGCAGAGGACGTAGGCAGAACCGGCACAGCGTTTGTAGGTACGCTGCATTCGATTTACTAACCGCGTGCTGGCAATCGAAGTCTCCTTATTTCAGGTGGTGGGTTTTCACTTTTATCTTAATGCTTTTCTTTCTCATATAAATGTCTACCTGTACGCTCTTCCATTAACCTGCACACTTCGCTTAATCCATTTGTAGTTAATTTCGACAACATTTTCGTGTTAGTGGCATTTCCGTAAAATATACTTTCTGACCTCCTGAACTTATCTCGGATCCTATGTAAACACTTATTTCATATGCTCATTACTTTAAAATTTATGTCGCCGTTTCCTTATACATTGCTCGATTGTTTTATTTGTTATATTTCTCTCAACTGATTGGCTGTTGCTTGATATCCCCGGTGTGACTGCGCTTGATGTACATGTTGACAAAGTGCCTACCTGTCTATTACCCACTACCTCATCCATACTAGCTCTAAGATACAGTTGGTCGTTGCTGGCTGGGTCGGGGTGCACGGCCCTTGTGGTTGTGTTAGGATCAAGGAGTGGTTCCATGCACTCAGTGTGGAGTGGACTACGGTCCAGCCACCGCCTTGTGTGCGCTTGATTCCCCAAATACAGCGTGCTTGTGGTTGCCTTTGAAGGAGTGCGGGTCGGCTCCATTGATGAAACGTGACTTCCATCCACATGCCTCCCGGTCTTATTCCTTCGGGTTTACACCGGATATGGGGTGTGTAGATGGAGCTGTGGGTGGTGCAGCGCCAGCCACCCATGGTCCCATGGGTGGTACCATGATTAATCAAAATCATATTGAAATGCTGCGAGAGAAGTTATGAATCCGTTTGCTTATTCAATAGTGTTATGTGGATGATGCACCACTTCGGGGATCAAAGATTATGTTAACCATGTTGAACAAAGGGAAAGCGAAAACCTCTGAGCGCCCCTGTCTTCAATCCGAGTAAGATTTTGTGAAAAATTACAGAGGAGGATGTTGCAAACATCCATCAGGTTACATTGACTTAATCAAGATAACTAAACATGTAGGTGAAAGAAATCCCAGTAGAATGTCACCGAACCTTGCTTGACAACATCTTTCGACACACGCTGACTGTCATCAGAAACCGAGAATATACGAAGTACTGAGAAAGACCATGCGTTTCTGGATTATTTTGCGTGATAATGCTACACCTTTCTCAGATTAATAGTATATAACTGATGAGTAGTATATAAGCAGCTTGACATCTTGGTTCTATTGGGCGTGAAATTAATATTTTATAAAGTATTGTTGCAGCCGTAAAACTTTCGGTAAGCACTGTTAACAATAAATAAAAGTTTTCCACTTAAGAACTTTCCTCGATATGATGAGCAGCGCGATCTTATTTGGCAGCTCAGTCATACGCTGGCCCTCGCATCACATAGTTTCAGCCTGTGGATGCCTACTTCAAAATCGTACCAGGAGACGGTCAACGGCTTCGTGATTACATTAGTTGACGAGCTCTACAACGAAACCCCTATCGACTGGAGACACAAGCGGTTTTTGCATGTCTAAAAATTTAAGCCCCCCTTTGATGCGTGTTGTTGGCACCTGTCTCCAGTGTCTTTATTGAGTAACGTTCGACCGTATTCCCACTGATCGCATTATCGTATTACTGTGTGAGATGATCTGCCACAAGAGTATCTTTGTGGTGTCTCACTCGCCTTGAGCTCGATTGTACCTCAGCACATTTGCGTCAATCAGAGAAAGCTATTGTGCCCGTTCTAGGGATTTTCTACCACGTTCGATGTAGAATCCAAGGTGTTTTGGAACCAGTTTTTGTCAGTCATCAATCAACATTAATGAAGTCAATCAAGCGCGAGACGAGATTCCACGAAATACACATCGACCAACTTCTTCGGATTCCTAAATGATCATTCACATACCACTGTGGAATTTGTCAAACCCGCACTCAATTTGGCTTGTGTCCCACAAAAGTCCCAGTCACCCTTCCTGTGTTGGGCGGAGCTCCACCCTGCGGACACGCACGTGGAGGCAGTGTTCAATTCACATCGAAGCTTACGGTGTCTGGCTGCTTTGGTTTCATTTCGCTGATACAATTCAACTGCCTTACTGGTCACCAGCTGCCGTTTCTGAATTTACTTATCACTGTAACTGGGAACAGCTATAAGAATGTTGCACCTACAGAGGGGTCGTGAGCTACTTGCGCTAGACAACCCTCATCTCTATCCACCCACTTTAGGTACAGCGTAAATTCGTAGAAATGAAATCATGACCACGTAGATCCTTGGTTCGGGATTAGCCTACATTCAGTCAGCCCGCACAACATTGATATAAAGGTGAAGGAAGTACGCGTGCCAGATGCACGCAGAACGGTGGCTGGGTCGCAGTCTTTTCCGTGATGAAGCTGTTCTTTAGGCTTAGCGTCATCGCCTTGACTGCCCCGCGCCCAACTCAACAACCATAAGCAGTTACTTCATGCTGATAATCAAACTGGTAACATCGGACTGTTAGCCATGTTGTTGATCGCAGTCAGAGCCAGTAACTTGCTCGGAGGTTACCTTCCGTTCCGCACACATTGTTCATTCGAGCATAGGCGATTGTAACAATGAGGCACAGCGTTTAACTCATCATTCTGGTTTTCGGCACAGCTAACCAACGCATGCAGTCACATACAACTTTGAATCCGAAACCTAAATGCTTGTAAATTACGACTTTGCTCGAAGGTACACGTGCACCAGTTTCGATTCACTCTGCTGTCAATTTTTGAACGTCACCTGCGATTAGATTTTGGGTCAGGTGTTCTCACAAGACGTCGGTTTGGTCTGAACATGTGGTGTCAGCGCACAGCCCACTCACAGGACGAATTTGCTGTCTTTCAACTTTTGTTATTTGCCTCCTTGCAAGATTATACGAGTACGCCCGCTCGATATTTGGGAATCAACACCCACGATGTCGCGACAGGAGGGATTTTTTCCTTGAAGTTCCTTCTGTTCGGCAACAGATGTTTCTGTTTTTGCATAACATCTTCACTAGTCCTAGTGCTCTCCTGGTGGACTTACATATGTTCCATTTTCCTTATTTTCAGCTGCCGAAAGTTACAGAAGCAACGGTGAGCAAGAAGCCACGAAAGCGTCACCGCCCTCTCTAAACTGCCATAAATGGTTTATTTCTGAGCGTTGATCTGCGACTTCATGTATCTTCACGACCATCCATAATACAGCTATTTTTATCTCTTTTTCACACACATCTCGGTGGATGCACAATATACATATCAGGTTCTAATGCTCTCGGATGCACCGCATATTTCGATTAATACACCGAGCAGGCGTATACATTGGCGAACATTTCACGTGACGTCGAATTTGCTACCTACTTATGGACACATTGGCGGTTCCAGGATTGATGTGTTGTAACTCAACAGTTTTGCAAATCGTAACGGTATGAGGAATAAATGAACGCCTTCTCACCATTCTCGTCACGCAACCCAGATCATCAATAATAATGCCAGCGATCGAACGGCCCCCGGTTTTTTCGTGTACAAATTTACTATGCTGTCTGACATTACGTCGTCCGTTTAGTAGAGGGAGGAATGCTATTAGGAAACCGCAAGCTGACGGGCACTGTGCGATACTCTGACAGTCAGGCCATCACTTATCTTGCCCAACAAACGTTTATTCATATCACTGCTAATTAACGCCACCAATGCTTCTCATCCATCACCAGAATTAAACAACAACAGTCTGTACTTATGAGGATATATACTTTCATGTTAATCAGCTATCTAGTTCCGATGGCACGCGTGCGTGTGATGGGAAGGTGAAACGAGCCGTGGAATGTTAGCTAATTGATGAAACCGGCCTGCATCGCTTCACCGAAATTGTTGCAACCGAGTCGATGCACGTCACTCTGGGGACCGAAAGAGAAGATGCCGTGCTATGCACTAACTATTCGAAGGATATCAATACACACACAAAGTCTGTTCAGGTTGGCGCGTCACAAACCGGTTCGCGTTTGTAAGAAAAATAAGCTGCAAAAGCCGTCTGCCATTTGCTTAGAATATGCCGATACAACTATACTATGACCTCAGCTCAGGGTTTTTGCGCGTAATTCGAAGGTCATCGGATCCACACTACCATTGATCAAGTCAAAGGTAGTTTCTGGAACTAGTACACAAGTCCAGATACCATGCTCATTTCCTATTCTGCGAATGACCAAATGCTTCTATTTCAGATTGTATGGTGTGCTCGTTAACAGATCGAATCTAACGGACTTGGTGAGGTCGATCACTGCTCTGTATCCATGAATATCGGACATTGCACACGCACTTCCGGTAGATACTGTGCACCGGAACGCACGAGTGCTGACGGACCATCTGACATGCCACAATCGGCATTGCCCATGAACAACGCCTCAAACTTCAGGCTTACTAAGAAAGCGTGCAGGTGAGTAGCTCAGATCAGTGAGACGCCGGTGTCACTCGTGCGTTAGCTTATGTAAGTCCTAGATGCCAGCATGCCAAAATGGGCCAAAGATTGAAGGTGTATGTCCAATGGAATGGTAACGGGGAGCTTTTCATGTTGTATCTTCTGATCCACCTGCGAGAATCAGACAGGAAAGTCAGCAACATATTGAGAAACGCCAATCTTAACAGCGTTGTGACACTGAGGCAAAGGCGATATGTCTCTCCACGATGACGATCTACTAATACATAGAGACGAAATGGGTATTCGTACATATGTTATAAAGCGTATGAGCGGAGAGTGATGATATCACAGTGACGTTTTAGCTGACATCCAGCGCGTGAATTTCGAAACAATCTCGGAGAGGGCACAATTAACAACGTTATACGTGTACTTTACTAGAATAATCCTTTGCCCGTCGAATTACCACAGCACACGCTCAATGCTGCTTTATCGCTACTCGTATTGCCTTCTTGCATGATGAGGTGATCACTTAGAAGAATAATCATGCACAGCGCAATGTGGCTATGAAAATGCGAAGCTGCTACGAAGAACATTAAGCTATTTAAGTCAAAATTTATCAATTGCTCCGTGATGATGAACACGCACCCGTGAGCCAGTTGTGCAAATACCGGAACGCGTAGCAACATGCGCCTTCCGTATAAAAATGAAGCCAGCAACTCAATGAACCCCGAGAACCGGTTCTACGTCTTCACCTAGTATGGTCTGCTCACAATTCCACGTGGGGACTTTCAGCGTTCGCGCATTGTATCAGGTCTGCCAGCTGCCGGCTCTCGGTTTAGATTTACTCTTAACCACAGTACTGTGAACACATGCCTTTGAATGTATTTCCGCCGACTGAACTCAAAGCCCAGCAACGGAGCAAACATGCTTCGTTCCCGTGATGATGTCGAGTCACTAACCTGGGACAGTTATGACGTTAGAGTTTCTCTCTAGAGTTCAGTATATCTCAGTGAACAGCCGAAAGTGGGCCATTACACTTTGGAGCGGTGAGAAACAATCATGTTGTTTCAGTCTGCTCTCCTGCCGACTGCGCTACAGGAGCTCCCAGACACGAATTCCGTATATAATATAATAGCAGTAGCCCATTATAAAAACAGCGTCCTAATCATCATCAAAGAGCTTAGCTAGAGTTAAGAAACACCTCAGCTATTCCTCTGTAAGACAATACAAATATCTAGCCATAGACATCATGTTGTGCAAACAAAAGAACAGTGATATGATGCCTTAGTTATATGATGCATCAATATTGAGATCGTGATCGGAGGGAGATTAACAGAGAAACTCACAACACAAACTCCATCGAGCTCGCTTCCTAGTCACGTCATCAAGTTTGTCAACCAAACCTGTTTATAATGTTTCGAGTCCCAGATCGATGGTTAGGAGTCACTGAGGTCAACATTGAAGTAAAGACTCACTTCTGTTACCCAAGTCATTGGTTGGTCTCCACTCTTCTTTTTATATCCATTATCCGGTCGCGCAAACAACACGCATCGTAGGAGTCGGCTTACTGGCATGTGCAACACTACACCTAACCAGCGGAACCTGGTTGGGCATTTAACAACGCTGAGCGACTCAGTTGTTTTTCTTTCGCCGCAAAATAAGGCAGCCAACGCACTCACTATTCATACTGCGCTACCACTAGATATGGACCAGATTTCGAAAACATCACCGATTGAATGTAACTAGCCTCCTTACATCTCTCGATCTGATTAATAACTTGAGCGTTCAGATCATCAGCCAGCACTACAGTGTCCGTGCCTCTTTTGTGACAAATGAATTCTCCCAGTCGACGATAAAAGTTATTTTTCGTCGGATCAGGACTACAATTTGTGGGGCGTAGGTAGCGATGACAAGTAGACACCTATCGTCACCACGTGAGTCCAAAGCATTGAACTGGCCACCCACTCTGACAGCGCACATCCAGCTACTGATTGGATTCCATTCGATTCAACAAATTTCAGCACAAAGGTCCAGAGACATCCACGTCGGTTTGATCGACATTTGGAACTGCACATCTTCCAACAGACAATTAATTGCGGCGATAACTACCCACAGGTGATCATATAGGGAGCACAGAGCCCGAGTCTTGCAAGCTACTCTCCAATAAGCAGAAGATATCGATCGATAGGGTCTCCATTATTCAGACAGGTGCTGCCTTTTGACTGATCTTTAAAAAAGTACGCATATTAATGCATATCAGTCTTAGAGAGGATCGAAACCTCCAAATCAAAACGGATGAACCGAGGTTAGACATGGCTTGTCGACTGGACCGGTGTGAGTTAGTACTAGAGGACGAACGATGCTCAAAGCTAGGTGGGGGATGGCCAAGTATTTTACGGTTGAAATGGTGACATCAAGGTCAGGTTAGGAAGGTATGGTAGGATAGGGAAGAGCAAAAGGGGAAATAAGATGAAAGGAAGACGTAAGCAGTAACCTTCTCACTCCTATCCACGTCACTCGATGCAGTAGATGCTGCTGATTATCGTTCGCGACGGCCAAAGTACCCGGAAATGGCTGGAAGACATTTTCATTGCTCGGACAGGATACTGTCAGGGTGTCCTGGCCCTGACAGGCGAACGATTGGGGTTCACAACTAAAGTCTGGTTCGAAAACCTGACCGGAAGGTAGCTGGAGTTTAGCAGTGGGCTACATGAAGTCCGTTTCAAAGGATAATAATTCATTTTCACTCCAACACCCAGCCTGGAAAACCAATAGTCTGAGTTTTAATCTCTGTCCACTGACTAATCCGGTATGAAGGATTCTAAAGAAAACATCGCCCAGCACGGATCGATTGATAGTATAGGAAAGCGAGCCAACGTACCACGATATGATCCTGCTCCACTGCGATGTGTTCCTACCATGTGTGAATCAATACAGTTGGCGAACATCTTTGCATCTGTTAATCTGATGGCCCAAGTTTCGTCTCCGTACAGGAGAGTTGAACAGACGGCAGCGTTATAGGCTATGCACTTCAGCAAGAGGGTGATGTGCTTGCACCATAGGTGGGGATTAGCGAAAGCGTCTAGAGCCTTCGCTATAATTTTGTGGTCGTAAATTATGTTCCATAGGCGCTGACATAGTTGCCTAAGTAGTCTGAACGGCTTCTAGTTACTCCCGCCAATCGTCAACGCAGACGTTGGGCCTTATCAATTCTGGCAGCAAATGTCCAACACTGCTTGGCAGCCGTGTAGATTGTCAGATTAGACGAATATCGTTAGTGCGCTCCATCTCGAGAAGTCAGTCATTCGGAGGCAGCTTCACATCATTTAAATCAAGCTCGGTAAATGCATTTTCCATAGCTACGTCAACATCGAAGTTGAAAGGGAAAGATGACAATGTGCATACTTTCTTATACTTATTTTCGATGGTGGCAGTTTCCTATGGGCCATCAGTCTGTCGGAATCGCGGGGGTAAACAGTGCTTACAATTTTTATTCATTCCTCACAATGAGTCGATGAAGCATACTATGATACCTGGGTACCTACCCTGACCTCAATCAAGCCTGAATTACAACCTATGTAATGTCACGCCTCCAACGCCTAATCCGGAGGTATCTCACTTGTCAGTCTAACTCAGTTTGCGGAGTGTCAGTATCGATTCCGCTTGGTACACGAACTACCACTGAGTGGAATACCGACCAGAATCGCCGTCGGTGTGTCTTGAA